CCACATTGACTCTAGATGTCTTGGATGATCGATCACTCCGGGTATCAATTCTATTACGTTGTTCCAGGATCAAATTGGTGTGGTTCTTGCACACAAATGCGAATGTACTAGTGCGCATTCAGCAGTAAAGGAAAAGGAAAGGAGTCCGTCCAAAAGGGTTAAGGGCTTACTCACGTTCGTAATTGGCTACGCTGGGGCAAGAGAGACTAAACGCGGGGAGGGGAGTATGAGGCGAGAGGAGCGCGATAGATGAGAGGCTCCAGAAAAAAATCTGCAGCTGCAGTGTAGTCCGAGGCGCTAACGCCTTTGTTTGGTTGATCCATCCACGGGGATGCCACAATCACGAGATGCAGCTGGCCAGGATCTCAAGTCTACATGAACGTCTGGATCATTCGTATCTAGCCCTGTCCAGTCGCGTTCAGCCGCGTGCTCATTTACCAGGAAAGGATGATTGAATCAGAGTGGCCGTATGTAACGTCACCTAATTGTTGGATGTGTTTTTAAACATCGATCTTAATCTGCTTTCTTAATCTCACAATCGATTTTCTGAACGGGGTTATGAAGCAAAATATAGCAACGGTGGTCATCGGGAACTCACGAACGAGAGGTCGGAGGATCGAGTTCCTAGCGCGCTTCCCCTTTGCTTTCGCAGAACGTAGCTGAAAAGGGCCCCTAAATACGTCACGTGATCAACGCTAGCCTATAGTTACCCGTACAAAGAGTTTACGAGGAGCTCCGAACACGTTTGGGCGTTACTAGCTAACAACTGTATATAGAGACCGCAGAACTCGTGTCATACATTTCGTGCAGAAGGCAGGTGTGATATTCGCGTTTTCGCGACGGAACGGGAACGAAAGTACCCACGCGGCAAATATCTATTATATTACTATTTAGGGCGGAAGTGGTGTAGTGACAAGTGGCGCGCTTACCACGCGAGCGGTCCGGGGATCAAATCCTGGGTCGTGAGTCGCCCGGGCCAACCAAGCCTTCCATCCCTCCGGGGTCGGTTAATTGGTACCAGACTTGTCTGGGAGGATAAAAACACTGACTTGAACATCGGCTGGCCCCCGCAAGTCATTGTATAGGCCACATCGCATTCAAACGCCACTACGAATGTACAAATGGAAGTATTAGGGTGTCCCAAAAGTTTTGAGAAAATTTTATTTGGTTTATTCAACACAAAAATACTACAACAAAAAGGTGAGATCAGTAATCGAGATAGTGGCCCTCTTTAGCCACGACGTCCCTCCATCGATTGGGCAGAGCACTGATGCCATTCATCCAGAAAGAAGAAGGGCGTGAAGCGATCCATTCATCCACTGCATGCTTGACCTCCTGACGGTTGTTGAATTTTTTCCCTTTCGTGTAGGCCTCCAGGCTTCTGAAAGCATGGTAATCACAAGGACTAAGATCAGGTGAATATGGAGGGTGGGGTAGCCAGGTGATCCCAAGTCTTTCCAGCTCCTCCGTCGTCGTCCTCGCATGGTGTGGTCGAGCATTGTCCATCACAATTACAAACTTTCCTTGTAGTCGGTGTGAACTGGGGGCTCGAGACACCATCTCTCGCAGTTGCTCACAGAATACTCTTGCCGTCACCGCAGTACCCTCAGGTAAGATCTCGTAGTATATGCAGCCGGTGGAGCAGAAGAAGAATGATATCATCTCTCCTTTCTTGGCGTGGGCACCACGCTTTGGTACGGGTTGAGGCTTCACGTCCACTGGTAGCCACTGCACGTTCCTGTGTGGATTTTCATAAGATATCCACTTTTTATCCTGAGCGACAATGAAGTCCGTCCAGGTCGTC